GTCCCATGCTTTGTGTAATGCTCTGTTGTCACCATCTTGATATTCTTACTTTTTAAATAAGAAGCCCTACATTTTCACTTGGCATTGGATTCCCAAATTACACAGTCATTATGGAGCAAAGATAAATTATTTTGGTTGTATTTGGGTAGAGGTGAGCAATACTCAATTTGTCCTATATTCTTTTATATGTCACTTCCATGTCCAAAGTTTTGCACACTTCTCTTCATTTGCAGTACCACCATGATATTACAGAAATAACTAATATTAGGCAAAATAGATGTAAGAAGTTACTAGAGATAAAGAGGGATATTTTACAATGATGAAAAAGTCCATCAATAAGATATAACAATATAAACAATAAATATGCCTAATGACAAAGTCCCAAAATAAATGAACCAAAACTATTAGAAACGAAGGCAAAGTAAACAATAATAGTAGTTGGAGACTTCAATAACCTTCTTTTAATAATGGATATAACTAGTCAGATGATCAACAAGAACATCGAAAACTTGGACAACACTATAAACCAACTAGACCTAATACAGATTTATAAATACCCAACCATCAACAGCAGAATACACATTCTTCTTAGGTACACATGGGACATTCTTTAGGATAGATCACAATCTGGGTCATAAAAAAAGCCTCAATTAATTTGAAAGGATTGGAATATATATATAATATGTTTTCCAATCACAATGGAATAAAATTAGAAATCATTAAATAAATTTGGTAAATTCACAAATATGTGGCAATTAAACAACATGCTTCTAAATAACCTGTGGGTCAAAAAAGAAGTGACATAGGAAATTAGAAAACACTTTAAGGTGAATGAAAACAAAAACACAATATACCAAAACCTATTTGATGGAGATAAAGAAATGCTTACAAGGAACTTTAAAGCTATAAATGAAGAAGAAAAATGGGCTTCAAATAAATGTCTTAACTTTTCAGCTTAAGACTGGAAAATAAGGACAAACTGAACTTAATGTAAGCAAAATGAAGGAAATAATAAATGTGGGAGTAAAAATCAATGAAATGGAGAATAGAATAATACAGAAAATAAAAGAAGCCAAAGCTTGTTCTTTGAAAATATCAAGCAAAATGACAAGCCTTTAGCTAGAGTCACCAAGAAGAAAGGGGAGAACTCAAATAACTAGAATCAGAAATTACAGAGGACGCATCACTCCTGACCTTATGAAAATAGAAAAGATTATAAAGGAATCCTATGAACAACTGTGTCAATAAATTAGATAATTCAGCTGAAATGGGCACATTTCTGGAAATACACAAACTACCTAAACTGACTCAAGAAGAAATAGACAATATAAGTGGACATATAACAAGAGATTGGGTTAGTGATCAAAAACCCCTCAGAAAAACCCAGACACAGATATCATCACTCCTGAATTCTACCAAACATTTAAAGAATTAATTCCACTACTTTGCAAACTCCTCCAAACACAGAAAAATATAGGATAAAATTTAAAGTAAACATTCCACCTACAACAGCATCACAAAAGGAAATAGCTGTAAAAGAAGTGCAAAGCTTGTACTGTAAATATTACAAGACATAGTTAAAAATTTTTAAAGATTGATAACAAATGAAAAGACATCTCATAGTCAGTCTATTATTTCCTCAAAATGTTAATTAATCATAGTTACCACATGTATGAACCAGCAATTCCACTCCCAGGTATATGCCCAAAAGAATCATAACATATATACACAAACTTGTACATAAATGTTTATAGCATTATTCATAGTAATGCCAAAGTGAGAAAAATCCAAGTGCCCATCAATTGAATGGCTAAACAAAATATGGCATAGCCACAGAATGGAACATTATTTGGCAATAAAAAAGAATGAAGTATTGATCATACTTTAATATAGATGAACCTTTAAAACAGCATGCTAAATGAAAGATGCCTAACACGAAAGACCACATATTGTACGATTCGCCCATTAAATAAAATGTCCAGAATAGGAGTGTCTCTGGAGAAAAAAAGTTGATTAGTTCTTACCAGAGACTATCACATACTTCAGCACTTGCTTCCTTCGCACAGATTGTTAGCTCAGTGGTTTACAGTGTGGCCTCTGATGTCAGAAAGCCTGTGCTCAGATCCTGGCTCCTCCCTTTACTAAGGAGGGACCGTGGGAAAGTCATTCACTGTCTCTGAGCCTCACAAAACGGGTTTCAATCATGTTAGAAAAAAAAGGAAATGGTGCCCAAGCATTATTTTTTTAAGTTGGGGTAAGTTCAATTTTACAAAATTTTTCCACAAAATTGCAAAACAGATCTCAGAGGACTGTGTAAGGAATAAATGGAAATTACATGAAGCACCACAAGGACTCAGTAAGTGATTGGTATTGCTATTACTTGATGTTAAATAAATTACTTTAATAAATGAATGACTGTTTAAGTCTAAAAAACAAAGTTTCTGTCAATAAAATCTATAGTCAATACACTTTCCCCCCAAATGTTTTGATTTGGTGGTTGAGTTCTGAACTACCTAACAGTTCTTATTTCCCATGTCAAATTTTTAAAAAGAGTTGTTAGTTTCCAGCTTTACTGGCTAAAGGAATGTTCAGCTTTTGTTTATGTTGTCCTTTTCTGGTATTGAACTTTCTTATTCCAGCTGATTTGCTGTCTAAATACAAGACTTAAAAACAACTGAGAAGGCTCATTAGCTTTGGAAAAAACGGGATATACATTTGAAACTTAGTTTCTTTCCTAAATAAGAGGTTTTCTTTTTTTTTCCTTCTACTTGAGGCACCCCTCTTTTGATTTGGAGGTAACTGATTCAGACTAAAGCTCAGTGATCGTGTCCTTAGAGCACCCTTAATTTTAAAGCAGACCAAAAAGCCAGCCCTAGCTTTCCAAACAGAGTCACCCCTGAACACACTCAGAGCCTATTTCCGGTATTATATAGGTAAGTGATTTTCTAGAGTATATACTCCTTTGACATTAGTAAGGCAATTCCCTCCCAAATATATGAAAATCCCACCAAGCCTAATTCAAATATTCAAATTAAAATTGGTCTTTATTTTTAGGCATTTTTAAGTAGAAAATGTCTCACTGATAGCTACCAATTCAAATACAAGAGTATGGAGTTTTTGTTTGAACGTATTGCTTTTATATCTATATCTACTTTGCCTCCTGCTAGAAATTCCAACTTCCACTGATATCACAGAATTATAAATTTGCTTTAAACCACAATGCACAAACAGTCCCAAAATAATAATATTATTACTGAAAATAGGGTTTTATCATAGACTTACATGCTCTGGAGTCAAATAATGGTTTTTGAGATCACTTGGAAAAGTTCCTCTGTGTGGGGGCTATGCCAACCACTCATTAAAAAGATAAAGTTCATTTGCATCATTTTTCTTTCAATATCAGGAATGCTTAAAGTCAGTTTGGTTTATAATTATGTGTTTAAATTGTTCAAGGTTAAATTTATAAAACAAAATATAAAAACCAAGTATACTCACAATTCCAACTTACATTCCTTTCCCATACTGTTCTCCCCCATTCCTGCCTCTATGTAAAAATTTTTTAAATTATATAAATCCTTGTTTAATGAATCTTAGCATACTATAGGTACTTTTCAGGATTTGGAATGCATAAAGAGATTTTTTATCACTTTTTATAGCTGCATGTTACTCTCTTGTTTGGATGCACTCGAAATGAATCAACTAACCATCAATTGATAGACATTTTTATTGTGGACATTTTTATTGGTAATCCTTTTTTCTTGCACTTATAAATAACACTACAATGAATAGCCTTGTGCATATGTCTTTTTGTATGTTTACCCATATGGCTTTAAGATAAATTCCTAATAAGAGATTCCTAAAGAGATTGCTGGACTGAATAGTAACTACATATTTAATTTTTCTAGACACTGCCAAATTCCACCCCGACTTTTTGCATTTCTACAAGCTATGCATGAGAATCCTCATTTCCCCCACAGCCTTGTCAAAAGAATATTGTGTAAATATTTTGCTTTTTGCTTATCTGCATTTCTCTTATTAGGAGTGAGTGGGGTTAAGTAACTTTACCCATATTTGAGGGATATTTGCATTTCTTTCTTTGGAAACTGTGTATTATTCATTTTCTAACCTTACTTTTTTAATATATAGTTTTGGGCATTTCTTTTTCAAAGAACTTCATGTGTTGGCTTATTAACCTTTTATAGTATAGGTAGCTAATAATTTCCCAGTTTATCATTTATTTTTTACTTTGTGTATGTTTTCTTGTCATGCAAAAGAGTGTGTGCATGTGTGTGTGTGTGTGTGTGAAATGGAATTTATTTTTTCCCTGGATTTTAAGTATACTTTAGGAAAATTTTGCTACAACTCAGTTATAAGAAATTCACCCATGTATTTTATTCCTTTTATATTACACATTTGGAACTCATTTTGGTATATAAGCTCAAGAAATTCCTAAAAGTTTACCAAGCATGAGCCAGTATGAGCTGTCCCCGGCACACCATTCATCACTGGTGGAGCATGGAGAGCCAGGGGTTGTTTCTATGTGTTGTTTCCGTTCATATGTTCTTAGGTATGATGACTAGTTGTGTTTTATCAAGTCAGTAAAGTTCCTGGTGCCTCAAATTTTCCAGATTAAAAACCTCTTTGAACGTTGAGAAAATGGGTCATTATTCTTGACAAATCGTGCATTACAGCTTGGGGGGGGGGGTGGAGAGAATGTACAACTATTTGGTTAAAACAAAAAAATTGCTATTTCTCTGGTTGAGATTTTTTTGAGTGCAAAACATCACTTATCCAGCTGCATCCTAGTGCCGCTCCTTTCGGAAACAGCAACAGAACCGGGAGACATCCTTGTAGGGAGACGAACGCGACCTATTAAACGTCTTGTTTTTAGCCGATTGGTACTCTTGCGTATCACAGCAAACTCATTTTCTCCTCTCAGATTTAGAGAACCTGCTATCCCCAATCGGACAGAAAAAGCACAATAAACAGTAAAGACTCACCACTACTGGAGGCGTCGTTGAGATTGAGCAGACCGCCGCCGAGCCCTCGGTAACTGTGGTAACTGTAGGTCCCGTTTCCGTTGATGTACAGCACCTCCTGGGAGCCCGAAACCGCTGAGGCCGAGTGCGGGGCCTGCGCCGCCTCCGGCTTACACTGTCTGTCCCCCGGCGCCGATTCGTCCTGCAATGACAACAGCATGCGGGACTGTCAAGTCACAGCGCTATTCCGCCTTGACCAGGACTATCTTATCGTTATCTATATGGGAAGAAAAAGAATCTACGGTCCACACCATTCAGTCAGCACATAGGCACATTTTCAACAACTTGGCTAAAAACTAAAAAAACAAAAAAAAAAGGAAAGCAAAGTAACAATGTGAGACAGACTGGAGATGGCACAATTTGCACTTTCCAGCTGAACTTAAAATTACATGAAGAGAGCTGTTCACCCGAGCCCGAGGTGAGAGTATCCTAGATGTCCACGGACAGATGAAGAGAGAAAGAAAATACGGTATACCAAAGATACAAAAGTAGGGATCCGAAGGGGTACGTGCACCCCCACGTTTATAGCAGCAACGTCCACAATAGCCAAACTGTGGAAAGAGCCAAGATGTCCTTCAACAGATGAATGGTTAAAGAAGATGTGGTCCATATATACAATGGAGTATTATGCAGCCATCAAAAAACTCCGAAATCTTGCCATTTGCAACAATGTGGATGGAACTAGAGGGTATTATGCTGAGCGAAATAAGTCAATCAGAGAAAGACATGTATCATATGACCTCACTGATATGAGGAATTCTTAATCTCAGGAAACAAACTGAGGGTTGCTGGAATGGTGGCGGGTGGGAGGGATGGGGTGGCTGGCTGATGGACACTGGGGAGAGTATGTGCTATGGTGAGTGCTGTGAATTGTGTGAGACTGATGAATCACAGACCTGTACCTCTGAAATAAATAATACATTATATGTTAAAAAAAAAAAAAAAGATAGTTGGAAGGGAAAAATGAAGGGGGGAAATCAGAGGGGAGGATGAATCGTGAGAGTCTATGGACTCTGAGAAACAAACTGAGGGTTTTAGAGGAGAGGGGGTGGGGGGGATGGGTTAGCCCAGTGATGGGTATTAAGGAGGGCACGTATTGGATGGAGCACTGGGTGTTATACGCAAACAATGAATCATGGAACACTACATCAAAAACAAATGATGTAATATATGGTGACTAACATAATAAAATAAAATTTAAAAAATTAAAAAAGAAAGAAAGAAAAAAAATATGGTATAGAACTACAGTGGAGTATCATTCAGCCTTAACAAAAGAAGGAAATCCTGTCCTTCTACAGTGTGGATGAACCTTGAGGACATAATGCTAAGTGAGATAAGTCCGTCACAAAAAGACAAATTTTGCATGATTGTACTCATACGAGGTATCTGAAGCAGTCAAACACAGAAGTGAAGTCAAAGGGTGGTGGCAAGGGGCTGGGGAAGGGGTAGGTGGGAGCCAGGGAGTTGTTACCTGGGTGCAGTTTCAATCATGGAGGATTGGGGGGGGTTTCTGGTGAGTCAGCGCACAACATGCATATGGTTGACGATACTGTACTGTACGTTTGGAATTCATTGGGAGGGGGAATTTTTATGTTAAAAATTAGAAAAAAACCCCAACTAGCTAGGCTTAAAAAATACATGAAGAGAAATCACAATTTGTAGAAAAACCTTTGCAAAGTTGACTTTCTTAAAATCTTTTTTTCTTTTTTTTTTTTTTTTTGGAGCCTGCGCCTGCCTGCCCTCCACCCCCGCCTCTCTTTCCCTCCCTCCCTGCCTCTCACTTTATTTCATGATTGTAGCAAAACTGATTGCCTGCTGAGTCCACACTAGGCCCATTTCATGCATTTTAACAGCCTAACAAAACCCAAATAAACCTGGGCCTTTCAGCTTGTTTTTCCTTTCTGAAGCTACACTAGTGTCTGCGAACTGTGCATTAAAACTTCTAACCATGTCAAGTTGTAAAGGACAATGAAATTAAAATTTGTAATAAGTTGTATGTATTTTCAATAGCAAAACAGGTTGGATTACTCTTCAGCTGTGAGTTTATAAAGTCTAAAATATATACAGCATATATGACTTCACTTGCCTGTTACATTCTTCATATTTTCTTTTTTTTATTTAAGAAAGAATTATAAATAGATTCCTAGTGAATACCTAGGAGTGTTTTTGTCATAATCAAGTATTTTGCAACTTTTAAATTTAGAGTACTTGCTTAGAGAAATAAAGTAACTTTCAAATACATTTTTAAAAGGCATCAAGTACTAGAAAAAGAGGACACATGGAATAAGTTTGCTCTTATGGACCCAGCATTATTGTTATATTCAGAAATATTCTAATCTTTCATGTACCGAAAGCATCACCACAGCTATCAGAATTATGCAATTATGATTTTGTTCTTTTCTTTTGATATTTTCATCTCTGATCTATTCTGACCATTACACTTAGACACATAATCTGTGAGCATTTCATCATTTCATTTCTAAGTAGAAAGATTTCAGGGGTGCCTGGGTGGTTCAGTTGGTTAAGTGTCTGCTTTCAGCTCAGGTCATGATCTCAGGATTCTGGGATCGAGTCCCGCATCCTTCATCGGGCTCCCTGCTCAGTGGGGAGCTTCTCCCTCCCCCTCTGCCACTCCTTCAGCTTGTGCTCTCTCCCTTTCTCTCTCTCCCTCTCTCAAAGAAATATCTTTAAAAAAAAAAAATTCAAGATAAATGGAAAAAATCCTCTGTGTAAACTGAACTGAAAATAAGAATTTGCCCAGCATTGCCTTTAAAAATAAACAAACAAATGTGAACTGACCTAAATTGGTGTATGAACTGGAATATCTGATTGTAATTCCCTCTTGTCATTTAAACCCTGGTGATCTCTGAGAGGGTGAATTACTTTAGTATAACACTTTCCTGGAGAAACAACCCATTAGAAGAGATTGAGATAGAATCAAATTTCTTTGGTATCACTGCTCTACTATTTACACTGGGAAGTCAGAAAGTTCCAGACTTTTTTTTTTTTTTTTAATTCTGAAAGTTACTCTTTGCTAGTTGAAAGTACCCAAAGACAGTGGGTTTTAGAATAGAGATATCGGGCTTTCACCAAATTGGGGCTTTTCCTAGAAACATACCAAAATATGTGGGTTTTTTCCTGGTACTATGATGCAATATGATATTACAGATAGTAAGAGAATTTATTTTTTTAAAGATTTTATTTATTTATTTGAGAGAGAGAGAGAGAGAGCACCAGTGGGGGGAGGAACAGAGGGGGAAGGAGAAGCAGACTCCCCACTGAGCAGGGAACCTGGACTCCAGGATCATGACCTTGGCTGAAGGCAGATGCTTAACTGACTGAGCCACCCAGGCACCCCAGGTAGTAAGAAAGTTTAAATAATCTAAGATATCAAAGAGGATATTTCCAAGAATCTTTTGTTACTGGAAGTATGTGCCATAATAAGTAGGTCTGAGGTAAATAATTATACTAATTATAGTGCTGATGTGAACAAGAATTGTTAATAAAGCAGTATTAGTAGTACAGGAACATAGCAACTATTACAATCTTAGAAACTGTAACCAGCGGCCTTTTAAATGGCATGTTACAATGACAGGGTGAGTGGAAAATGGTCAAATCAATGATGACAGCACCTCATGCAGTGTCCAAAAGTCTTTTATAAAAGTGCAGTGAAATGGTCTCTCATCTAGGAGTGCCAATCTCCTCCCTGCCTGGAGACAGAGATTATCATATATATGACATATATATGATATATATGTGTGTCTGTGTATTTATACACACATATACATATACACACACATACATACATATACATACACACATATATATATAATATATATACATATATATTTACTATATATATATGAATGATATACTATATATTTATGTATATCTATATATATATTCCCCTATATCAATATATAGATATATCTATATCTATCTATCTATATATAGATATAGTCATTCAATTTAAACTTATTAAATGAGTAAAGCTTATCAGAAAATTGATAGGTGAATCCATGATATTTACCATGGATTTTTTTTATGCAAATGGCTTCTATCTTCTCTAAAGAAATAGATATCAAAGTACACTCATGGAACTATAAGTCTTCTGGGGGAAATGTTTTAGAGTCTTTCTGAGATCATGGAACAAGGGCACACAGATATGCTGTCCTGACACGTTCTTCCTCTTAACACAGACTAGCGGATTTTATGAAAATCACCACATCTAAAGCACATTTGCATAATAAAACCACTGGGCTGTAAAGTATTCTTTCTGTAAAGACATGTAGCCATTGAAACTCTGAAAGGAGGCAGAATATTCCATACTTCAAAGCAATTTTGAGGTCCTTGGGAAGGGGCTGGCCTCAAACAATGCCCACAGCTAGCATAACTTCCCAGTTTCTTGACTGAAAATAACTTGGGCAACATGATAAAATTTGAGTTTCTACTTTGGCAAAACTCGTAGCTCTTCTGAACATCCCAGTCTATTTTTCTGTGTTTGGAAAATGGCAATAAGATACACTCACAGGAGAGGAGTTTCTTGATGACCAGTAAAAAGGGAGAAGGGAGAAGGCATTGTCTCCATAATATTTGCTCATTGATTCTTTGTATGATAGAAATAATTTGTATTATCAAACATTCTATTTTGAAAATGTGCCTTAGTCTTTCATTATTAACTGTTATTCCAAAACACAGTATCTGCATGGAGCAGGCAGATAATTTCATTAATAATCAAAACAGGCCTTGTAGGGAGTCATTTGTGTTCAAACACAGATTTGCATTATTAATGTTCTTGGCAGTCCACTATATGTTGAGAAAGAAAACATATGAAAGTCCCAATAAAATCTGGTCTGCCGTATCTTTTGGGCAAAACTTTAATATAAGTTTTTCTTTTGAATGATCACTGTTACTGGTTTCGAAGAAGCATAGATTTTAATGACATAAAAAATAAATATCCCCTAGAGTCACATTTTATCTCTGTAAGCAACTTTTAATAATCATTAGTTCCCAAACTTCTCAAGGCTGACAGTCTGCCCCCTGGGTTGCTATGAAGATTATTTTTAAAAGAGGATAATATTAACAGGTTACAAGACTGCATATCCAGGCAATGAAATAAATTTTATTCATCAAAAATCAGAC